ACACAAATCTATTGTATATATGTATATTCATATATATGTTTTTTACATTTTTAAAAAATGTAAATGTATGCTATTTTTCTCGGGCTGTAGGTTCCAGCTTTTATCAGATTTATAAAGAATTAGTGATATTTTCCCTCTCCAAAATATCTTGGGTATTTGTGTTCTCCTCCTGGACTATCTGTTCTACTGTCCTCTGTATCAGTGTTACAATGTTTCCATAATCACAGTTTCATAAAACATTTTAGTATGTGGTTGGGCAAGTTTTTTTTTTTGTTTGTTTTTGTTTTTAAGTTTTTGCCATAGAGCATGTGTACTTGTTGGAGAGATATAGAGAAAGGGAACCTGAGAAATCACCCCCCCCAAGGGGGGATGGCCACACCAAAAACCCTTCTCCCCCATTTTCCTCTTAGAGAATCACACACCTGACATGATTTTCAATCTACCAGGTTTGAGACCCAACAGTGAGCACCTATGTGGGAATTCAGCGTCTTAATTACCATGCCACCTGTTGGCCCTAAGCAAATGTTTTAAAATTGATGCTTCTTGTTCAAAACTATCAGGCTATTATCACATTTCTTTCTAATCACCTTCGAAGCTACATTTCCTAGTTTTTAACCTACCTTTCTTGGATTTAAAAGTCAAAATGCATCAAATCAAGATATTTTAATTTGGAAAATCTTTTCATCCAAGAACATTGTATATCTTCATTTATGAAAGTGTATTATTACACTTTTCAGTGAAGTATTTTTCTTACAGTTTTTTCTTGCCTATCACAGTAAAGTTCACTATGAAAACAGGCTGGTATAGGGACATGGGGACAAACAAATTTATTTAGGTTGGGTGAGGTAAAGACATTATCTTTTAACCCCTCAATAAATGCAAATTTAGAAAAAAAAAGGAAGTGTCTAAAGTTCTACTTGTTAAAGAATCACTGGGTTTGACTATTTTATTAAACATATTAGTGAGCAATCCTATGATCATAATCAATCCATTTTATTATCACTGCTTTAAAGAAGTGGCTACCAATGTACAGTCATTCAAATACTGAACTGGATCACAATACCTGGAGATTGCCTATACCATAGTAAGGATTCCATACATAATTTTTATTGAGAAAATGTAGTGTACAACATATTATGTAAAAATCCAAGTAAATAATTTATATATAAATATTCTTCTTGGTGGCTATACAATCTTAATAGAAAACTTGCTCAAGTATCATGTCACAATTAGCTTTATTCAGAGGAGTAACTTTTACCTGAATGGCAATACTGCGATCCTGAGCAACTTCAAGTTCCTTGTTTTTCTCAGTTAGTGCCTTTAGTTGATTATCTGGATAGAAAGAATTTTATGAATATACGCATGTTAGCTTGATACTTGTGATGAGTATTTTTATTCAATTACTACCTTTACACATTTTAAAAATTAGGAAACTAAAACCCAGAAAGATTGAGTCGTACTTCACATTCTAAATCTGTAAATGTATTCCAAATTGACTGTATTCTCAAACAAAATTTTGTATATTATCCTCTCTCTTTTTTTTTTTTTTTTTAAGATGGCATGGAGATTAAGTTAGCTGGATCTCACTTGGCCAACTATGTGGTTTGAGTCCCAGACGGGTGGCTTAAAAGTACTTAGGGTATGTATGTGCCTGCCCAAAATTCCAAAAGGACAATGGAGGAGAAGGGATTGCAGTGTGGTCACTCACACTGGCGGGTGATCACTTCTTCCCCTGTAGCACACATACCCTATATCCCGCCCAAAATAAATAAATAAAAGAGAGAAAGTTGAGAGCTGGCCCTGTAGTCTAACGGTTAAAGGAGCCAGGTTCCACAGAGCTAGCTAACTACAACTCAAATCCCAGCCCTGGAGGCTTGAAAACACGTCTGCATGCATGCGTATGCCTACAATCCTGCCAGGATGGAGAAAGAGAGGAGATGGGGTTGCAGTGTGACCAAGCTCCATCATGTGTTACTTTTTCAATGGGGAGCATGTGTGCACCCTTTGGCAATTAAAAGAGAGATAATAGAAATCTGAATCATTCCCTTGATTATGAGCTTCCAGTGTTTCTTCTCCACTAATCAAAAAATCAAGCTATAATTAAAAGTAGTTCATTATTCTTTTACTCTATAAAGGATCTTTCCTGACCTTTGCTTTGTTCACTCATAAAAAACTACAACACATATCATTCTCTGAAGAAATGCCAGGATCTGTAAGATCTGTATACTGTCCAAGATTTAACAATGTAAATAAACATCTACGAAGAAAACCAGCTACTTATTTTTTATAGCAAGTAGATCTTAAAAAGGAAGTCTCCTGAGATTCACAAGTGTTTACAATAATTATGACAGAACGATGAGTGCTAAAACACCAATATAATCGAATTAACTGGCTTTGGTTTTTCGAAATATAAATATAGACATGGAGGTCCAGCTATGAACAGCAGTCACACTGTTACAATAAACATGGCAACACTGCTTTTAATGGCCGAATCCTGACCACTAAGCCCTGTGTTCTCACAAAACACTAAGTGAAAAATCAAAATACAGTATTCCCATAAACAAACACAATGATGCTTAACCAATCAGTATTTTCATATACAGTACGCAAATGTTTCTTAAGCATACAAAGGAGTATCTACAGATCTCAATACTTCAAAAATACTTAGAAAGATGTCATTAAACACTTACTGAGTTTCTCTAGCTCAAGCCTCAAGCTTTGGCACTCCCGGGTTTCATTCACGAGTCTCTCCTGACTGTGGGATAGCCTCTTCTCTATCTCAAAGTACTGTTGTTCTACAGAAGACAGCAAAAAAGTTAAATCAAGTAAATTGCCACATTACCAATAGTGCTTTTAATCTCTAATAACCCTGATTTAAAAATTTAAGACAGAGCACTGGGACTGCACTGCAAATGAAAAACATTCTGTGTGAACATAAATAGATTGAGCACTGAAAAAGACTCAATGAGCATTTCCAGCTGACTTATAAGACAATAGAAAAAAAAGGCCTATAACAAGTTTTACACATACACTTCAAGGCAGGTGACACAACTATTTATCTTAATATTTTCCCCAGAGACCAATAGAATGCTTAGTGTAAAGCAGATTAAATAACAGTATTTATTAAATGTTGGAAAAAAAATGTTTAGAAACTGCTTTGCCTTAGAAAACTTACTGTAAAATATTCAAATAAACACTTCAAAGTATACAGTTACTAAACACATGTAAAAATAAATGTGTGAGCTTGCCAAGGGACGGAAGGGACCATGTCTGTCCTGAACAACAGGGAGTCAGGCACAAAGAAGATACAAAGTATATGCTGCAGAAGTTAATGAAAAGAACTCGGTGTACTATCTTTCTCTCTGGGAGTCAGAGAACTAACATGCAAGATCAATTCTGCTAGATAATCAATTTTCTAAAATGAAAGTTTATTCAGAATTTCCAGTCTTAGCAAAAATACAAGACCAATTCCCTCAAAATAGTGGTATATAAATATGCAAAACAGATGTCTGTATCTTCTTATGGTAATTACTACAGTCTTAACCTTCTTCAAAGATATTCAAGCTGTTACTTTGTATAACATTCCTATGGAAGACCTACTATAGCTAATTATTAGATCTTAACATAATTTCTATCAAACTCGAACTTTTGGAGAGAAATCTGATGTATTAAACTTATTTAAGTTTGCTCTGTTTCCAGCACTGTCTTGCCCACCTAAGCTCATTTTTGTGAACACTTAGATCGTCCTGGGGGTGCAGGGTGACACGCACACTATGAACAAGTGCAAGAAGCAATGAGGCAAAGGTTTGGGAATGCAGGTGACTAGGGGAAATTATTAACATTTAAAGTTCAACAAAACAGATATAAGGCAGTCTACAGAGACATATGGACCATAGACTCTTGGAAGTATGGAGTAAACAAACTCAAATTCCTGACAATTTGTTGGAGAAAGTTAAGTGTTCCTAAAGGAGGCCCCTAGCTACAAAGAAAAAGAAATTAAACGAGGATTAAGATTTACCAAAAAATAAGTAAAACAGAATAAAGCGCCTTCTGATCAAAGTACGAGAAGTAGGAAAGAGAGGGCCTACGGTGCCCCAGGGGGCCTGGGGTGATGCCACCAGTCAGTGTCGTAGGAGTGAGAGCTTGCAAGGGGGAAGATCAGCCATAGCAGCTACAAAGTCCGACCCAGGATCAAGGGCGGAAAGGGGGCTCACTCACCGCTCTCCACCTTAAATTTCTCGTGTCGCCCCTTCAAGCCATCGATCTCGGATTGCTGATCAGCAAGGAATTTTTCAAGTTTGTTCTGGACGGACTTGGGCAGCTTGTTCAGCTCTGCGCGCTCCAAGACTTGCTGCAACACCGCCGCCATGTCGGCTGGGCCGGGGGCCGGCGCACCAGCGGCCAGCGGGGTAGAAGCGGAGAAGAAAGGAGAGGACCAGGAGGACCCAGAAGCCTGGGCCACCACCTCCGCCGCCTCGCTTGCGGGCTCGCTGCGCGCGCAGCGGCCCGCAGCTAGGCACCCTGGGAAGGCGAGTTCAGAGGTGGCCTCTGCCTCCGACTTCCGGTCGCCCGCTCTACCCGTTTGAGGCCTCGCAGGTGCCTGGGAAACGTAGTGTTTCTCCTTCCTTTCCGAGAGCCCAGTCCCGCACCGCCCATTCCTCCTCCTCCTCTCTCCCCGCCTCCGGCTCTCCGCGCTCGGCCGCGTGACCGCCGTCCGCGTGGTGGCGCCACTTACTAGTCAGCCCACGTCCCTCCCTGAAGGGCAGGGCGATCTTACCGTCAAAGCCCCGGGATGCCATGGGTCGTCCTCTTGGGCGACTTCTAGACACTGAGCCACTAGAGGGCATCGGTCCCCGCAGGGCCGGTGGGCCGGTGCCGGGCTACCGCCACGCTCTCAATGGCGTCCAGAAGGGGGCGGGGTGGCGACCGCAGTCGCGTTGGCCGGAGCGCTGCGGTGAGGGGAGAGGGGCGGCGTGCGTCATCAGTCGGCGCCTCCTGCCTGCGACCCGGGCTTTGCGGTGGGAAGTGAGGTGTGGGAAGTCGGTCGCTTTCTGATTAATTCATGGGCTGTGGAAGTGGGACCCGAGGGGAATCTGGTCCCTAGAGGCTGTTCCTTGTGCCCTGGATCTCTCCTCGGGCGGAGTTACCTGAGAACAGGTGAGTCAGCCTAGCGGCGCGACCCGTGCGCGAGAACGGGTCTGTGTGCGTGCCCTCGAGCACAGAGAGCTTCGTTTCAAGGGAGCGTGGAAAGGGCAGAGCAGCAAACGCGGGGACCGTCGTTCCGGTGCACACTCCCATCCAATTCTGAGCAATTTATGCGAAACTCCATTTCTGCACGCCTTGTTGCGGGAGGCGGGGAGTACTGAGTGACCCACAGGTACGGAAGGAGCCAGGATAGTTTTTCAGAAAGAGGATTAAAATAAAGGGTAGCCGATGTTTTGAGATGACATTGCAGGAAATGATGTTTTAAAACTGAAAACGGTTATAACAAGTTTTTAAACACATTTTTAAAAACCACGATTCCTGTGCCACTATAACAGAATTTTGTTTCTTGATGATAATTCCATAACTCCCTCAGCTCGATCTGTATGTAGGTTGCTTCACGGTTGATTAAATTCTTGTGAAAGAATTTGTTCAATTCTTGGTGAGAGATAAGGCAGGCCTGATGTCTTCCTCCCTGCAGCTCCCACAGTCATGGGCCTTCTGTGATTTGATGGTGTAGTTCTCACATGAAGTTTATTCTCTTTATCACTTCCTACCATTAAATCTTTTTCAAGGCCTCTCAGAAGTATAAACAGAAGTATTTCGTTTATGATATTTTTGTGATAATTAAGAAAAAGTAAACTAGTAAAAGGGTCAAGTGGATTTCTTCCCCCAAATAGCTTATATACAAGCGCTTTAATTAAGATAGTTGGTATGCGTAGTACTGTACTGTTTTGCTTAGGCCCGTAGTATTATCACACAGTCGATCTACCATAAGGAGACTGCAGATAGTTCATACTTAGACTCACAGAATCCTAATTAGATAGGTTTTCAGATTTGCTAGGGTCCAAATTATTTTTTACTTTGGGAAACGAGTCCATGGTGGTTAATTTGTCCCGAGTTACAGTGCTGGGACCCTGAAAGTTTTTGCTGGTGAACAACATTTTGGTAAAATTATAACTGTGTCAGACAAGATACGCATATTTAGTATGCTCTTTTTTTTTTTTTGAGAGATTTTCACTGTAGGGCGCGTGCGCTCGCTAGACAGACAGAGACATAGAGACAGAAAGCGAGAAATCACCCCCCAGGGGGGATGGTCACACCGCAATCCCTTCTCCTCCATTCTCCTCTCGGGATCTTGGGCACGCACGCACACGCGCCCGGCGTGAGTTTTAAGCCACCGGGTCCGGGACACGAACCGCGGTCGACTACGTGGGAGTCCAGCGACATAGCCATTACGCTAACTGCTGGTTCCCAGTATGGTTGAAAGAGCTCTAAAGAGGGAAAACAGACATGCTGCCAGATATTATTATCCAATAGGTTTTCCTTTTACTGCGTTAAGTTTCCTACATGTTCTTAATGTCTAGTAGGTGACACCCTGGAATAAATTAGCTTAGAATGTTAAATATCCTAACTTTGGGTTTGTTTGTTCATTTGTGCAAACATTTAGAATTATGAGGGCTGAAGGAAAGGAGAAGGAGAACTTAATAACGTAAAGTTAATACAAAGCAATGCATACAGTAAGGCATTACAAAAAGTTGAAAGCCCTTATTTTACAAAGTCATTAATGATTTAGACAGGTGACTTTCGACTTACTAAAAAAAAAAATGGTATGAAAACCTGAGTCATGTGTGTACTGTTGTCAGAAAAGGGCTAGAACGAAATGTAATGCATTTCAAGACAAAATTGTACAGGCTCTTTGTAACACTGGCAAAACAGTATCCAATAAGCCATTTCTAAGTCGAATCCATCCTCTAAAATGGAGTAATTCAAAGTCATCTTGTGATTGGCAGTTACTTGTCTTGTGTCAGATATACTTTACAAGCATACCTATAGCAGTCTAACTTTATAGTACAGAATAAGATTTACTTTCTTAAAAAAAAATAGAACCTAAATGACTATTATTTTTAAATTGTGGTTATTCAGAATACCTCACTTGTGTTCACAGTTGCCATAGAATGCATGTTTCACCAGAGAGAGAAAGAGAAAGTGAGAAAGCACCCCCTGGGGGTGGGGGAGATTGCAGTACTGTCATCTCTTTTCTTCTGTTCACCTCTTGATATGTTGTGTATACACGCACATATGCCCAGAGTATTTTTCAAGTTGCAGGGTCTGGGCCCTGAACTACACAGTTGGCCATATGGGATATAGCCACCTTAACCACCTTGCCACTAGCTGACCTTGCAGCTTTTAAAAATCTCTCTTTACAGTTTCGTCTTGTTTACTGAATATGAGTTCCTCAATATCATCATTATTTATTGCCTAGCTCTTTTATTCAGTATTTTTGTTTCTGGGCTACAGAAACTCAAAAGAGCATAAGCCAGTATGGGGAATATTCAGGTTTTTATCCAAAAGCTGTAGAGAGAACAGTCTAGCAGCTGCCATTAGTAATGATATAGCCGAAGGACTGGGTATGCGTCCCCAATGAAAACAGCATGGATTCTAGAGCCAGACTGCCTGCATTTAAATCCCAGCTTTGCCGTTTACCAGCTTTGTACTTGGGCAAGTTATTTAACCAACCTTTGTTCCTCTTAGTTTCTTTGTCTATAAAATGAGGGTTATAATAATAGCACATAGGTCATAGGGTTGTTAGGAATATTAATTGTTACTATATGTAAAGTACTTAGAATAGTACCTTATGCAAAATAGACTCTCTATAAATGTTTTTCTTGCATTGCTATTTATGTGTTTAAATTGCAGATACTCAAAATACTGTAACTATGTTCCCACAATCCCTCTGTTTACATCTGTTTCATAGCTTTATATATATATGCTTATATAACTGTTATTATGGCTTTGTCATTTATCTACTTACATAACTCTTGTGTGTATTATGAGTTGCTCAAGGGCAGAGATAGATGTTGTTCAACACTGTGCTGTTCCACCTGGTACAATTTGTAGGAAGTGGTATCTCAATATATGTTTAAAAGTAAGAACAGTGAGATTCAACAATAGATTATAAAAGATAATATTACTAGGGAGTAGAGCTAAAAGAAAAAAATTTGGTGTATTGACAACTAATTTTGTGTCCTTTTTTCTTATCCCAAGTATGAGACAGGTTTGATCTCTCATGTCAGCTCTGGCTGATTGGTAGTCATTTCCTGCAGTATTGTGTACATTTGAACTTCCTAAGGAAGAGTACCCTAAGAGTACCCTATCACTGAAAGGCACGCAGTGGTTGGTAACAAAATAGTACCACTTCTGTTGCTGTATTATCTCCATGATAAAAAACACTGGAAATTACATTTTTAACAAAAAAATTCTACGTGTGTTTTCTGGTTATTTAGGAGATTGAATTGCTCTCAATAATGGGAAGAACCTACATAGTTGAAGAGACTGTTGGCCAGTATCTTTCAAACATCAATCTCCAAGGAAAGCCTTTTGTCTCTGGTCTTTTAATAGGACAGGTATGTATCTTTTACTCTGTGTTTACTGATGAAACAAGTTACCGGTTTATTTAAAAGTTAAAAGATGCTATTTAATAATAAAATAGGAAGGTGAAAGGGTAGATAGAAAAGTGAATGAAAGTGGATCTTTGGAGAAAGTGTCAAATAGTAGGACAAACATACGTAGGTTTCCTCAGGTCAGAACATACTCCCTTTGACGACGAAAAAGTATAACGTAGATACTCCAGGATTAGAATTTTTATTCACCAGATTATTCATTTTTTGTTGTCTTTCCAAAATAGTGTGTACTCAATTCTAATCTTCATTAATCCTGGTTGTTTAATTTTTTATTAAAAAAGCTTTTGACAATTTTATCCCCATTCTAGTCGGTCTTGACTCAGAATTCTAGCAGCAGTGGTCACATATTTTATTGTTGTGTAA